TACTCTTAACCAGAAGTTGTTTCTTTAGATCTTAGTCGGTTCAATCCATAATAAGTCCACCTATTCCACTCAAGTATACCTGATTTGCTTACCACAACAAGTACGCAAGATAGAATTTATCAATTCGATTACAATGAATGGTTGACTTGAACGGTTGCGTTTAAGTTCAAGTCTTAGTCAAACCCATTGTTTTCATTGCTGTAATTGCAATTTAATTCAGCTGAGAAATTCTATTGGTTGTTCTCACTTACGATTAGTTGGTGGCTTATAAAAGAAATTCATTGATCAACGATCAGTGAAAGATGCTGCGAAAAGCGTTTATGTAAGTTGCCTGGGTACTGTTTTTCGTTTCACTTGTGCTGCTGTTGATTCAAATTACGCATGAACACACCCTTGAAACAGCTTTGAACATTCGCATAAATTATGCGTATATGAAGTACACATTTAAAAAGTAATGAACTGAATGATATTTCTCGTTTTATCATCGCAAAGACGCAATGTAACGAGATCCAGCATAAGATTGAGTGAACGCATAGCAATGAATAAATCTTTCACTGAATAGGCGTACAAAACCATCGTTGTGAGAATTTTCCATGCTCACGAATTCCTGAACANATTTGTGAGTTTGGTTGAACCAGCTTGGTGGCAATTTTCTGATGATGATTTGACCATTGAAAGAGGACCGGGCACTTCGTGTCGAATACAGGTTTGTGGATCCGCTTCATTCAAGTAAATAGCCAGAATGAATGTTACGATTTCCAGATAATCGCGAAGAAGAGACACATTAAACAAAAAGCAATCACAAACAGTATAAACAACAAACGAAAGCACTCCAACAATTCGTTTTGAAGTTTGAGGTTATGCATCCAACATTCCAGGGTAACCAATTGTACCGAGACGATCATTTCGTACGAAATCTAACTCCAGAAGATCAAAAACAATTGGCTGCTTATAACGCTGAAGTGAAGAAATGGGACGCTAACCTCCAGCTGAGAATTCAGCATGTAAGTGGAATGAATAAGCGACATTTGTAGCTTTCATTTCTTCTATTGACTTTTACCTTTGCAACTGATAACAGTTATAAGTAAGTTATCTCAACGAACAAAGAATGAAACTTATCCCAAAGCATCACATAGATCTCTTGCTTCCTTATGTTCACTCAGTTTTGCATTATCCAAGTGGCCAGAAATCTCAATACGGTACGTTTTTNACATAGATCTCTTGCTTCCTTATGTTCACTCAGTTTTGCATTATCCAAGTGGCCAGAAATCTCAATACGGTACGTTTTTCATAACGTGAACATTTGCCTGGATTCCGTAGAAAACAATGGCCAAGATACGTAAAAACGTTGTGAATCAAATGAATTTCTCGAAGCGATGAAATTCGACGTTGCACAATTTTTACAGAATTTCAACATTTCGACAGCAACGGAAACAAAATTCAGCAGTGTTTCACCAATCAGTTAAATTCTCACCAAAAAAATAGGACAGACAAAACCGACGAATCGAGTTGCTATTCACACACGACATATCATCCATTTTTGGCAGTCATTCATCGTGTTTCCTTGCTTTCAGCAGAACAATGCAAACGAAAATAAGTTGCGTGAATCAATGAACGCTGTTTTTGGACCGGGTGGAACATTTGAACAAGCCATGAAGGGTATTAAGAACAGACCGGCACCTACAATGAAGCCACTTCTTCCTGCTGAAGAGACTGTGCCAATTCCAGAAATGCCGTTCCCTAATCCACCACCGTTTTGTCGCGACGGCCATTAGTGCCAACAATAAAGCTGCAGTTATGACCCAATACTTCAATTGTCTTCTCATCAGTGAGCTGAAACGCAGATCAAAAGCACGTTTGATTGGCTAATCAAACGTGCTTTTGCTCCCAAGAGTCCCCGGGAGCACACCGAACTTTGAAAGGTTCGTTTCTCACGTTGAACAAACAACATACGAATATGTTCACATGGTTATTTTTATTCCTTAAATCAATGTACGATTCTTTTCGTGTGGAAATCTATCATAAATACGATTAATCGAACATATGCCCACTTAATCAGTATTCTTCGCATTGCAAAATGAATCTTCATTGTGATTTTGCAAAATGATCCGTGAAGAAACTTTGAATAAAGTTAATGCAAATGATAAATGTTGTTCGCATCGATAGCACCTCCTCATGAATGTGCAAAACATCGTCAAAATCAGGCAAGAGAATAGC